TTACTTTTTGTAGAGATATTAATTTTAGAACATACATTTTTTTCAATTGATATATTTTTTTATTTAAAAATACTTTTTTGTTTAACACTTTTTCACATGGCGCATGGACTTGGCATCTTGTTTATCTTTTTTTTTAAAAGATAAGTTTTTTTATGGTACGATTCTACATTTTCAAATTTAAATTTTTACTGATTCATTATACGACTCTATATATATCTGCAACTTTAATTTTCCACTGGTACAAGTTTCTACTTTTACTTGTCGCAATTTTTTTTTTATTTTATTACTTTTGTTACGATTGTACATGGGTTTATAATCGATAATTTTTCATACAATTCTATTGTACATGGGTTTGCAATGTAGGATTCTACATAAGTTTGCAATGGATAATTTTAATACAATTCTACATGGGTTTGCAATAATTAATTTTCATAGGATTCTACATAGATTTGCAATGGTTAATTTTTCATAGGATTCCACATAGGTTTGCAATAGATAATTTTTGTTAATAGCGTGCCCTTAACTGGTCGCCTTTTTTTACCTTTTTTTAAAGGTGAGTTTTTAGAGATTATTTTGTATTACACGTGCAGGCCAAGTGGCACTTTGTGTGCGTGTTTTCTGTGCGGAAAGCGGCCTATTTCCCACGCCGCCATCTAGCGGCGACGCGGTGAGTGAATAAGCCGCATTCAAAGCCATTGCCTACGGCTGAGCCGCGTTCAAAGTCATTGCCCACAGCTGAAGCCGTGGGCAATGATTTGCCTACGGCTTCAGCCGTGGACAATGACTTTGAACACGGCTATTCCCGCACCGTGCCGCCGCAAGATGGCGGCGTGCGATTGGCCACCTCGCGCACAGAAAACGCGCACAAAGTCACTTTGCCTGCACTTGTAATACAAAATAGTATGTGTATCACGTGCGGATTGACAATTGCTCACTCGTGTGGGGTGGTCGCACTCGCCTTCGGCTCGTGCATCCATCCCCCGCACTCGTGACCAATTGTCAACTTTTCGCACTTGATACACAATATACTATTATTTACAATATTAACGTATAATAATAATTTATTAACTTAACTAGATATTTAATAAAATTTTTTACAGATTTCGTTTTACAGATTATATGTTACGTGGATCAATAATGGAGGGATTTACACAGCCTCGATAAATGTCTAAGCAAAGTTACATAAATTATTAACTCTTTAAACATATGATTAAATACGAATAATGACTTAGCATATTTCTTCAAAATTTAAGAGCATATTAATTGGTTAAAACATATACAATTTTTTATTAAAAAAAACAATAATACAAACACTCGTTAGAAATAATTTTAGAAATGTTAAAGCATATATAAGATTTTTTATATCTGTTAAAGTATAAAAAAGGTTTTGAAGATTAACTCAGAGATATCGCGTAAAGTAACATGCATTAAAAAATCCTGAAAAAGGTACAAAAAATTAATAGGATTCACAGAGCCTTAGTGGACGACTAATCGACATTATGTAGATTAAGATTATCACAGTACATTTCCTAACCTTATAATAAAAGATTTTTAAACACTACTTTTTTATTAATGTATTGTTTTATATCAATTCTCATAACACGCCGCGTCAATTTTATTCAAGCATGTTGTTCAAAAAGTTATGCAAATTAACCAAAATAAACTAACAAATTATATATTAATCAAAATCTTAATAAAGATAACTTTTGTAACACGTGTTAATTTTACTCAAATCTTTTGGAAGCAAATTAATGTAACTAAACTAAAAAATTAAAATATTAATAAAAATAAACTAAATAAATGCAAATGTGTTTATCACAGAATATCTTTGGTACATTGTGCGTATATCTTTGATAAGTTTTTTTTAGTAATTCGTTAGACAGTTTATGGTGAATCTTAAAAATTTATCAACTGTCCACCAATTTCTTTCCGTATGAATAATATATTATTATTTAAATTCTGTAGTTCTTGCAGAATATCTTTATCAACTGCTAATTTTTTTTTGTTTAATTGTAGTTTTTCTTGTTTTAGTTCCAACATTTTTTGTTTGAAGTTTTCCGATGTAGAAGATTTCCTTTCTAATAAGTTCATTGCAGTTGTCATAAGTTTTGGTTTCTTTATACCTAAATAAGGGGAAGTTTGTAAAAAAACTGAAAATTTATAGCTAAAACTTAAAACTTATACGTGTAAATATTAATACATTTTTTATTTTTCGTACCTTCTGAATATTTTGTCGATGCAAATCCCTTAGCACTTGGAGCTGTATAGATTGCCTAAGCATCTTGCTCCTATTAATTATATAAAAATATAATATAAAATCACATTCAGGATTTCTAAAAATTGCAGTACTATATCATTAAAAAAATGATAATACATACTAAAGCATTATCGTCGTTTTCATTAGATAATAAATCGAATACATTGGTCATAACTTTTGGTTTTTTCGTACCTAAATAAAGGAATGTAATTACAATATTTATTATACATGTAAATATTAATATATTTAATATAAATTAGATTTTTAATACTTTTAAATATTTTGTCGATACAAATCCCTTTGCACTTGAAACTGTATAAATTGCCTGATTATCTTGCTCCTATTAATTATATAAAAATATAATATGAAATCGCATCTAAGATTTCTAAAAATTGCAATACTACATCATAAAAAAATTATAATACATACTAAAGCGTTATCGTCGTTTTCATCTGATGATAAATCGAATACAGTGTTCATAACTTTTGGTTTCTTCCTAAATAAAGGAATGTAATTAAGATATTTATTATACATGTAAATATTAATTTTAATATAAATAAGATTTCTTATATCTTTTAAATATTTTGTCGCGCGCGATACAAATCTCTTTGCACTTGAAGTTGCATAAATTGCCTGATTACCTTGCTCCTATTAATTATATAAAAATATAAAATGAAATTCTATCCACAATTTCCAAAACTTACAGAATAATTTATTACAAAATTGCAATATTATTTATAAAAAGAATCGTAGTACTTACTGAAGCGTTATTGTCTTCAATTTCAGATGAATGCCGGTTGCACAAAATATATTGAGTCACTATAAAAGCTACACGCATGCACATACATATGTAAGTGTTAAAAGAAATAATTCTGCATGTTCTAAATTGCTGAATCAGATTTCGCGGGTCTAGTAAATCATATGGTAATCGATGAGATGGCGCATCGAAGAAAGATTGGTGGGAGATGTCGCAGAGTGCGTAGATCCCTTGGTCTCTTTCTCTCGGGAATCTTCCTGGCGTGCGGTAGCGTGGTCGACCAAGAGCGAGCAGAGCACAGGAGAGAGAGGGCAAGGGATAAGTACCTCAAAGGAATATCTAATTTAGCATTTATTGAATCGAAAGTTTCTGCGTTTGCTGCACAGCGTGTGCATTGCTTAATAAAATAAAGTTAAAGTCTACCACGGTCGCACCACTCTTGTAGAAGGTGTAAAGAGAGCATTTGTAGTACAGAACTAGTCGTTAATCAATTAGACAAATTATAGACTTAACATTTAAACAAAAAGAATTGTCTCAGAAATTCAATTGGAAACCAGAACATCCTTCATTCCACAGTAAAATTTGTATAAATAAATTTAACAGGTTATGGGCTCAGGCCGACACGAGACTGACTCGTTATATTTAAAACATTGAGACAAGCGAGAGTAAGAAAGAGAGATAAGAGTGTTGAGACCGTGAGAGGAAACAAAAAAAAGAACTAGCTCGTTGAAAGCGTGGCAATACGTGAAAAATTTGAACGTGAAAATCTCGATAATCGCGAATAAAAGACGGCCGTTGAACGGCGAATATCGGTGAGCACGAGCACAGTGCGTGTGTACACGGTGCGAACACGCGAAACTCGATACATAGCGAAGTAAATAAACACGAGGTGTCAAACAGACAAACAGATATCAAATAATACGTAAATACGTTAAAGTGAAAAAAAAATAAAATGGCACGGTCACTCGCGGAAGATCACGCTAATATAGAAAAATTAACTAGTAACGAAAATTTCCAAACGTGGAAATTTCAGTTAAGTATTTTGTTTCGCGGAAACGAACTGTATGACATAGTCGTTACCGAAACTCCCGAAGTCCGGCAGGACGCAGCGTGGAAAAGGAAAGACGCCCAAGCGCAAAAATATATAGTCACGATGTTTCGTACTTACAACGACGATCAGAAGATAGCCAATCGTAAAATATAAGTATTAGGTGAAAATATGGTCTTACGCGATTCGCTGATAAAAATACGTGGGGATAGCCCCAAAATATAAATAGAGAAGCAAACGCTTCTCCGAGTCACTTCACTTCTCAGCACTTCTCTGTACTTACTTCTCGGCGAAAATATACATAAACCTGCGCGTGTATCGACAACAACCTTTTGTACTCAGACGAGCGGTATACTTGGACGCCGCTATAATAAATCCTTTACTACAAGGAGCGGAACATAATAATTATTCCGTGTGGATATTCCACACGGGTTTATCTATCCTTCGTTGCATCCTGCAATCAGAGGAGCGGCCTCACGGCTGGGACATCATCTCGCAATATAAAAAACGTTGGGTAGAGAACGCGCCGGCTTACAACCGGCGCATCAGTTCTCAAATTATTATTAAACATTTTGGTCCTTCGAGCCGGATTAATTTCCGGAGGCGTCGGACGTCTCGGAGGAGACGAAACCGACTCAAGTCTGAGTGCGGATCCACGGCGAGGGTGTCGGCTACGTACCAGGACGACAGCCAGTTTGGAGGACGGTGACCGGGCCTGCCGAGCTGCACGCAGGGAGAGACGATATTCGTCGGAGCGGCACCTCGAGGGGCGGCGTGGCGCCAGGCAGAGAAGAGGACACGTAACTGGGTAAGCGGTACTTAAGCCTGCACCAATTGTATTTTTTGCGCTGCGAAAGTGACCTACTTATTTATTTATTTGCAAATACTTGATTCGCGTCGGTCATTATAAACTGTTTGTAAATCGAAAAAAGAAAAAAATGCCGATCGACCGTAGCCCGGGTACAAGTAGCGCGAGTGCGTCGACGTCAAATGTAACGGCATCAGAGATAGCGGCGCTGAAAAGAAGGCGCGGAATAATAAAGGGTTCGTGCACGCGGATAGAAACGTTCGTGAATAGCGTGAACGCGGTAGATGACGATGCACGAGCGCAATTGGAAGTAAGGCGCGCGCGCTTAGACCCAATATGGGAAGATTACTGCAAGGTGCAGTCGCAATTAGAGGCAATAGACGAGGCCGAAATAGAGGACAGAGTCGCGTTCGAAGACAACGTATATTCGTTGTGCGCGAGAATGCGGCGATTATTGCGAAATGACAGCGGTCAAAATAGTCCGCGGGCCTCCACGCCAGTATCAGCGCGATCCGAGAGCGAAGCCGCAACATACGTCCGTTTACCAAAATTAAATTTACCGTCTTTTTCCGGAAAGTACGAGGAATGGTTCCCGTTCCATGACACTTTTATTTCGGTCATACATAATAACAAAACATTATCTGACATACAAAAATTTCAATATTTACGGGCGTCGTTGACGGGTACAGCTCTCGACATCGTCAAAACATTAGAGATATCAAATAACAATTACGACCTTGCGTGGAATATTTTAAAAGAGCGTTATAATAATAAGCGTGTAATCGTGCAGAAACACATAAAAGCGATATTCGATTTAACGGCGATTACGAAAGAAAGCGCGAGTGGCATTCGGCAGCTGGCGGACGGTGCGGCGGCACACGTGCGCGCGTTAACTGCATTGGACTGCAACGCCGACAAATGGGACGCGTTGTTAATATAATCACGTCCAAATTAGATCACGTAACATCTAGGGAGTGGCATTCCTCCCTGGGGGGCTCGGAGTTACCGCATTTAAAGAATTAATTGATTTTCTCGCCCATCGCAGTCAGATTTTAGAGGAGTCGGCTGGGGGGGGATCAAGCGCTTCCGAGCGCTCCGACATTCGTTCGCGGGCGCGATCGACTTCGGGACGGCGCGCGTTGCATGCGACGGTCGAGGGGGGAAGATGCACTTATTGCGGGGGTGCGCATTTGATATACTTTTGCAAGGGATTCCTAGCGCTTCCGGTAAATCGGCGCATAGGTGAGGTGCGCGGTCGAAAACTCTGTCTAAATTGCTTGCGTAGCCGTGATCACGTGGCGGCCGAGTGCTCGTCGAGCGGCTGCAGGACATGCAAGTTGAAGCATAACACTCTGCTACATCTCTCAAACCAGGGAAGGGGAATTGAGAATTCGCGGGCCGCCGGCTCAGCGGCGGACGGTTCGACTCCGATTACGGGCGACCCTGCCGTCGTGGTCGCGCACGGCGCGGTCGGGGGTGACGGCGCGGAGCCCTTACTGTCAACAGCAGTTGTTTACGTTTACGGCGCGGACGGTTCGCGGATGTCATGCCGTGCCTTGCTGGATGCAGGAGCACAGGCGAATTTTATTTCAAATAAATTCGTGGCGAGGTTGAGATTAAAAACATTGCCTACGGAATTGTCAATATCGGGCATATTCGGATCGACGTCCGTCTTAAATCGGATGGCGCGAGTCAGACTCCGGTCGCGACTGAGTTCGTTCGAGGCCGAGCTGGACTGCGTTGTCACCGACCGAATCGCGGAGAGAGTTCCGGCGAGCACACTGAGGCGTCAGGCCTTCAGGCTGCCGCCCGGCGATCTAGCGGATCCAAAATTTAACATATCTTCCGACATCGATTTATTGATCGGGATCGACTTATTTTGGCGGCTGGCGTGCGTGGGCCAAATTCATGCGACATCCGAGCACCCTCTTTTACAAAAAACACGTCTAGGCTGGATTTTGGCCGGGCGTACGGGTGGGGGCACCTCACGATCGAGCGCCAAATTGCGTGCGTTACACGCGACGATTAATAACGCGCAGCTCCACGAACGAGTTGACCAATTTTGGAGGATCGAGGAATTAGCGGATTCTAACGGTTATACCCGCGACGAGCAGGCTTGCGAAAGTCACTTCATGACGAACGTGTCGACGAACGATGAAGGCCGATATATCGTGAAATTGCCGCTAAAAGAGGACATATTTCAACGGCTCGGCGAATCGCGCGAAACAGCGATAAAGCGTTTTCTTGCGCTCGAGAAGCGGCTCAACCGCGACCCGGGTTTGAAGCGCTCCTACGCGAATTTCTTACGCGAATATCAATCGTTGGGGCACATGAGAATCGCACCTGCAAGGTCGATCGGGGGTAAACCTGTATATCTGCCGCATCACGGAGTAATAAAGGGGACCGGTCCATGCGCGAAGTTACGCGTGGTTTTCGATGCCTTGTGCAAAACCAGCACGGGAGTTTCGCTCAATGAGGCTTTGCGAATAGGTCCGGTGATTCAACAAGAATTGATAACAATATTAATGCGTTTTCGAACATTCGTATATGTCTTCGTGGCGGACATAATCAAAATGTATCGTCAGATACTGCTGCACGAATCGCAGACGCATCTGCACAGGATAGTGTGGCGAGAGGACTCGGGAGCGCCGATCGGCGAATACGAATTGCTGACGGTCACGTACGGTACAAGTTCGGCGTCGTTTCTGGCCACCAGGTGCCTTCAGCACCTGGCACAAAAACATGCGGACGAATTCGCGATCGGGTCGAGATGCGTGCTCCAGGATTTTTACGTCGACGACCTGCTCACCGGCGCTAACACCCTGTCGGAGGTGAGGCGCGTACGCGAGGAAACGGTTGCGCTACTGAAGCGCGGAAAGTTCGAGCTCGGCAGGTGGGCATCAAACTGCCGAGAATTATTGAAGGACGTGGAGGGCGCGACGGATGCGAGCGTGTCTCTGGGCGGGGACTCGAGCTCTAAGATCCTGGGAATTGCGTGGGATCCCGTTAACGATAATTTTAAATTCGATTATGAGAGCGGATCGCCTGCCAATTGCATAACCAAGCGAACGATTTTATCAGAGATCGCGAGCCTTTTCGATCCGTTGGGGCTACTGGGGCCATTAACGGTAGTAGCAAAATTAATTCTGCAAGACACATGGCAGACGCAGGTCGGATGGGATGAGTCGCTGCCGCAGGACATACATACGCGTTGGCTGGGAATAAAACAGCAATTGACGAATCTCGGTGAGTTACGCGTGCCGCGTTTCGTGGGCCGCGTGATCGATGCCGGGGGTGTGCAGCTGCACGGCTTTTGCGACGCGAGCGAGCGTGCCTATGGTGCGTGCGTGTACGTGAGAGCGTACAATTCCGGAGAATGCCGAGTGCGGTTGTTGGTCTCAAAATCGCGAGTCGCGCCTATGAGAGCAATATCATTACCGCGCTTAGAGCTGAGCGCGGCGCTACTGTTGGCAAATTGATAGAAAAGGTTCGAGAGTCGGTCGGACTTCCCGCCGCGGGGGTGGTTCTGTGGTCGGACTCCACCATTACATTGCAATGGATTCAGTCTTCGTCGCGAAAATGGAGCGCGTTCGTCGCGAATCGAGTCGGGGAGATACAGCGCTTGACCGAGGGCGCGGATTGGCGACACGTGCCGTCCGCGGACAACCCGGCCGATATATTATCGCGTGGCGCGGACTTGGCGGCTCTGGCTGTGTCTGGTCTATGGTGGGAAGGACCGGCGTACCTTCGACTTAACGAGGGACATTGGCCGATTAGAAACATCGAGATATCGGGAGAACTGCCCGAGCAGAAAAGAGTGATCGCTGCCGTGGCGATCGGAGATCAACCGATAGTCTCGGGTTTATTGGAGAGATTTTTGAGCCTGGAGAAAATACTGCGAATAATATCATATTGTTTGAGATTCGGTCATGCGCGACGGGCTGAGGAGATCGGGTCATCGATATCTCATCGGGAGATGACCGCGGCCATGCAAGTCGTGGTGCGTTGTGTGCAGCGCGGGTCGTTCCCGGGGGAATATCGCAGTTTGGGCGAGGGCCGGAGCATCGACGGCGGGAGTCGCATATTATCATTGTCACCGTTTATGGACGAGTGTGGCGTCATTCGCGTTGGAGGTAGAATAAGCAGGGCGGCGTTGCCGCCGGATGCGGTGCACCCCATGCTGCTGCCGAAAAGCCACGCTCTTACAACGCTAATTATTCGAGGAGAGCACGTTAGGAGCTTGCACGCGGGACTGCAGGCCACGATATGCGCAGTGCGTCAGCGCTATTGGCCCTTGGCGGCACGTTCAGCGGTTCGCAGAGTGTTACGCGAATGCGTAGCGTGCTTCAGGTGTGGGCCGGCAGCATCTCAGGCGGTGATGGCGGATTTGCCTGGGCCACGGGTAAACGTATCAAGGCCATTCACGCATACGGGCGTGGACTATGCCGGCCCGATATTTATAAAAGAATCCAAGCGACGCAACGCCAGGATGCTAAAGGCTTACATCGCCGTTCTCGTGTGCTTCGCGACCAAGGCTGTACATTTGGAGGTCGTAAGCGATCTCACGGCGGACGCCTTCTTGGGGGCGTTTAAAAGATTTATGTCGCGAAGAGGCAGGCCGGCGTGCGTGTACTCCGACAATGGCACGACATTTGTCGGAGCCAATAGGCAAATTAGAGAAATATACGAGGTAATCAGTAGCCCTGAAGGGCAGGAAAACGTGCGTCAGTTCGCGCGGCGGAACGAGTTCGTTTGGAAGTTTATACCGCCCCATGCCTCACATTTCGGGGGGCTATGGGAAGCAGCGGTGAAATCCGCGAAAATACATCTAAATCGCGTGGTCGGAAACGCGAACCTCACTTTTGAGGAAATGCAGACGGTCCTGTGCGAGATAGAGGCCGTACTAAATTCGCGACCATTAACAGCGCTAAGCGAGGATCCAAACGATCTCAACTGTATAACTCCGGGTCACTTTTTAATTGGTGCAGCGCTTAATAGCTTCCCAGTTACAGATTTAGCAGAGGAGAATCCGGGACGACTGTTGCGCTGGCAGCGCGTGGAGCAAATGCGCCAGCATTTTTGGAAACGCTGGAGTACCGAATATCTGCACACTCTCATCGAGCGGAGGAAATGGAAGGCCAGCCAAGGACAGCAACTAAAAATTGGTCAGCTGGTATTAATTCAGCAGCCAGGACTGGGGCCATTGCAGTGGTTATTAGGCCGAGTTGAACGAGTACATCCGGGCGCTGATGGGGTTGTCCGAACGGCCACGCTAAAGACGGCACGAGGACAGGTTACAAGGCCCCTGACAAAACTGGCGATATTGCCAATAAATGACACGGACAAGCCTACGATCAATTAAATTATTTTGTACGCGCGTTCTTCTATATTGTGTTTGTCATGCATGTGACACGATGCGCGCCCTTTTATTTATTTTTTTTTATATATTTATATGTCGTTTAACGTTGCGTTCCGTTTCTTTTCCTTTACTTTTTTTATTTTTTATTATTATTGTAAAATGCGCGCTATATTTATTTTATTATTATTTTATATCGTTTAGCGTTGCGTTTTTTGTCATTGTAAAGCCGTTTCGTTTTCTTTTAATCAAGCATTTCTTTCATTGCATGTGCTTGTTGCGTATCTGAATTTATATCACGCCGCTTGACACGTTCCCATTATTAATTGTTGAACGAGGCTCCATAACGAAATCATTACGACATGAATTTCATAAATCGACTAGTTACGGCGTTTAATTTGAAGACAGGACCTTCAAGGGGGGCGGGATGTTTCGTACTTACAACGACGATCAGAAGATAGCCAATCGTAAAATATAAGTATTAGTCGAAAATATGGTCTTACGCGATTCGCTGATAAAAATACGTGGGGATAGCCCCAAAATATAAATAGAGAAGCAAACGCTTCTCCGAGTCACTTCACTTCTCAGCACTTCTCTGTACTTACTTCTCGGCGAAAATATACATAAACCTGCGCGTGTATCGACAACAACCTTTTGTACTCAGACGAGCGGATACTTGGACGCCGCTATAATAAATCCTTTACTACAAGGAGCGGAACATAATAATTATTCCGTGTGGATATTCCACACGGGTTTATCTATCCTTCGTTGCATCCTGCAATCAGAGGAGCGGCCTCACGGCTGGACATCATCTCGCAATATAAAAAACGTTGGGTAGAGAACGCGCCGGCTTACAACCGGCGCATCAGTTCTCAAATTATTATTAAACACACGACGATAGATAAAAAACCCCTGTTGCATATAATGCATTGTACAACGTCACACGAGATGTGGACGAAGATCGCGAACATATACGAAAGAGAGTCGGAACAGTTAACGTGTAGCTTAATGCAAACATTCTATACCACGGTGTATGATAAAAATTCAGATATTGCTACGTATATTAGTAAATTGCGAAATATAGTGTACCGGTTAAACGCATTGGATAAAAGGATAGATGATAGTATGCTGATTTCTAAAATCTTGTCTACCTTGCCTGAACATATGAAACATTTCGTGAGCGCGTGGGAGTCATCTGAAAAAGCAGAAAAAACGCTGAAAAATCTAACTGCTAGACTGATCGCGGAAGAAACTAGAAATCGTTCTAAAGAAACAGAAAATGCTATAGCATTCAAAGCAACACAGTTGAAATGCTTCAAATGTAAGAAAACAGGTCACGTAGCGAAAACGTGTAAATTAAAACAAACACAAAGTATAATGGACAGGCGAAATGTTTCAAATGTAACAAGCAAGGTCACTTAGCTAGAGATTGCCCCGAAAATAAAAACGTCGAAAAGTGCGGTATTTGTAAAAGACGAATTATAAAGAAAAGACTGTTATTTTAAGAATAAAAAGGAAGACACGGACAAAATTGCGTTTCTGGTGGAGAACTAAATCAACACGATACCTTGATATTGGATTCAGGGAGTACATTCAATATGACAAACAGCGCGGAGTACTTCAAAAACATGAAGAAAATTGATGCAGCAATTGGAGTAGCGAAAATGAACGAGTCAATGGCGGCAAAAGGAGTGGGCAGCATAGAGTTCGATGAGTGCCAATTGAAAGAGATGGTATACGTACCTGAACTCAGTACGAATCTGCTGTACTGAGCTGCTCGGTAAATGCCATAACCGAAAGCGGTGGCGAAGTATTGTTCACTAAGAGTGAAGTGATAGTAAAACGCGAAGAAAATGTTGTCTTGAAGGGCTCAAAATTAAAGAATGGCTTGTTTCAGATAAAACTGAAGCCGCAGAAATAGCATAAAACGTATCTTGCAGAGAATAAAGACAAGGAAATAAAGAACTGGCATAGAAAAGCTCAGACACATCACACAGAAGAATCTGAAGAAACTCACGATGCTAAGTGAGGGAATAAACTTGTCACCGCGTGAAAACCTACACTTGGGAAACCTACAGAAATTTGTGCAACGTGCCAAGTAAGCGAGCAGGCAAGGACTAAAATAGGAAAGGCCAG